ATACATATATATATATATATATATATATATATATATATATATATATATATATATATATAAAATAGATTATCCTGAAATGTTTACCCTGCATTGCTGTTATTAATGATCAAAAAGAAGTAACGTTCCATTACCTATCAAGTCGTCGCTGAAAAACGTAACGATAACGGCGTGACAAGTAACGCGTTACTTCCCTAGTTTTGTCTACAGGGTGTCTCACAACTCGCGGTATATCAATAATTTTCGAGATACAATCAGAAAGGCAAATCTCTTTTCGCGAATCTTTTTTCCGGTCAATTTCAAATGGACATTATTTTAATTCAAGACATGACTATACTCAGATATACTGAAGATTGAGAAGTCCTCGATATTGCTTCAAGGAGGAATTGTCTTCGAGTTTGTTCAGACTTCGGTCAGCTCTTGCAAAATTAAGTTGGCGAATTCTAGGACGCCCTGTATAATAAGCTCGCGTGCAAGCGAAAAGTAACTCCGAGTTATTCGCATGGTCAATTTCGTTGTTGTTGCAGTAAAAAGAGCAACAACATGGTGGACGCGGCTGTTTTGGACAAGCTGGAGTCCGGCTATGCTAAGCTGGCGGCATCCGACAGCAAGTCGCTGCTGAAGAAATACTTGTCGAAGGAGGTGTTCGACCAGCTGAAGACACGCAAGACGTCGTTCGGCTCCACGCTGCTGGACGTGATCCAGTCCGGTCTGGAGAATCACGACTCCGGCGTGGGCATCTACGCGCCCGATGCTGAGGCTTACACCGTGTTCGCCGAGATCTTCGACCCGATCATCGATGACTACCACGGCGGCTTCAAGAAGTCCGACAAGCACCCGCCCAAGGACTTCGGCGACGTCGACTCCTTCGGCAATCTCGATCCTACCGTGAGTATCCCGCTTTTCTGTCTTGAACGTCGTGTCCTTGAACGTCCATAAGTGTTACTAGGTCAATGTATCGAGACGAAACAATCGCCTGTGGCTCTCATCGCTTAATTCCTTCCGGAACCGCCGCCGTTATATCCATCTTGCCTCTGTGATTTTGTTCATTTCAACTCTTATCTGACGTTTGAATTCGAATGTCGTTTATTTTTTCCACGGGAATAAATTCCCTTTGGTACATTGAGAAAAAGAATATCTAAAAATTAACAAATATTTATTAGATGCTATTAATATATTTACGTAAATCAAAATTCTCTTCATTCAAACCGAATGAAGAGAATATTCGAATATTGTTTACTCGGTTTAAGTAAACAATACTCGGTTTAAATGAAGAGAATTTTGATTGAAGCAAATATGTTAATGTTAATTTATTAGCTTACTTACGTAATAAATATTTGTTAAAATATTTTTTTAATATTTTTTATTTTTATTATTAGAAGAACCATCTTTCTAATAACACTTACTAAAACATTAGTTAGAAAATGGTTTTTCTAACTATTTTTGTGGTTAAAATCACAAAAAAGTATAATTGACGCCAAAAGCAACAATATTTTTCTTTCAGTCTGTTGCCTTGCCTTTCAAAATCGCTCACCATTTTTAACAGTAGGCATGTGTTTATTTTATACATATCTGCTGTTATATATTTAATAAAGTTATTATATCAGTTATATATTTACTGTTATATATTTAATAAAGTTATTACATCAGTTATCCACTCGGTAAAATTATTAATACATCAGCTATTATTAGTTATTATTACCAATATTAATATTATTATCATTGGCATTGTTATCATTAATCGATTACTTTCTACAGGGTGAATACATCGTGTCGACTCGCGTGCGATGCGGCCGCTCTTTGGACGGATATCCGTTCAACCCGTGCCTGACCGAGGCGCAGTACAAGGAGATGGAGGAGAAGGTGTCCAGCACGCTCTCTGGTCTGGGCGGCGAGCTGAAGGGTACCTTCTACCCGCTCACCGGCATGAGCAAGGAGGTGCAGCAGAAGTTGATTGACGACCACTTCCTCTTCAAGGAGGGCGATCGTTTCCTGCAGGCCGCCAACGCCTGCCGCTTCTGGCCGACCGGTCGCGGTATCTTCCACAACGACGATAAGACCTTCTTGGTGTGGTGCAACGAGGAGGATCATCTTCGTATCATCTCCATGCAGATGGGCGGTGACCTCGGTCAGGTAAGACACAGTCCTACCTTAATCCGGATTTAATTAACTCGAGGCTGCTGATGACAGTCGTCTCGGATTGAAACTTCAAAAGTAATAAGAAAATTCGCAGATACACGTTTAAAACACCTGCAAAACGTGTTGAGATGAAAGATATGTTCATAAAATGACACAATGGATTAAACAGTAGAGATGTGCGAACTATTCGAATCAAATAAAATTCGATTCGGTTCAAATTCGAATCCGAATAATTCGGATCGAAAAAATTCGAATACGAATCGCGCACATTAGCATTAACGAAGAACTATTAAAGACATCTAGCCTTACGGGAATTAGCATGACTTGAAAAACTTGCTATACATTAAGATTTTCTTCAAAAATATTAAAAGAAAAATAATGGCTTCTAGATAAACTCTTACCGACTATATATTATATATCCCTTACCTTAAAATGAATTGATATCACATGATTAATGTCAAGTCACTATTTTCATGTTGAATTCAATGATTATGTTAATTAAAAATCCTTTTAACGATTCGATTCGACATTAAAAATCTTTGATTCGCACATCTCTATTAAACAAGTTTGTAGGAAATTTCCTGTTTACTTTAATAATCATTAAATCACATAACATGTAATATATTTTTTAGTTATATAATTTTGCCTCCGCGTTAATTAATCGTTGCTGCTAATTTACTGCAGCGCGGAAACTTACGGAATTACTAATTAATTTATTAGTTAACTAAGCTCTGTTTCATAATTCACAAGTGTCATTTTATGAACATATCTGTTTATTTCAATGCAAAATTATTTCCACTTTGCAAAATTTCTTAAACCCGAATTGTCCCGCTCTTGAAATCGACCGCAATCTAAAGGATGCAACCCACCAATTGATGTTTCAAAGTATTTCAGTCGCACAATGACGTAATTGATTTCGTGTATAAAAAAACCTCCTCGAAACCTGTGAAGGATCGAGTGACTGTTTGCACCCTGTAAGATATCCGTCGCGAGGGAACCGAAGCCTTTCACTAGCTCGCGAGGAGCTGTCGTCATCAACTAACTTTTGGCACGTCATCACCAGGTATACCGTCGTCTGGTGACCGCCGTGAACGAGATCGAGAAGCGGGTGCCGTTCTCCCACAACGATCGCTTCGGCTTTCTCACTTTCTGCCCGACGAACTTGGGCACGACGGTGCGCGCGTCCGTGCACATCAAGGTGCCGAAGCTCGCTGCCAACAAGGCCAAACTCGAGGAGGTCGCGTCCAAGTACAATCTCCAGGTGCGCGGCACCCGTGGCGAGCACACCGAGGCCGAGGGCGGCATCTACGACATCTCCAACAAGCGGCGCCTCGGTCTCACCGAGTACCAGGCTGTGAAAGAGATGAACGACGGCATAGCCGAGCTCATCAAGCTCGAGGCTAGTATGTAAACACCGTGTCGTCCGCCCCCACCATCTCCCCACATCCCTCAAAAGTCTCCTCTGCTCCCCCCTACCCCGACACGTATTACTATTCGTTTCCTAAAAACAAAAGAAGAAAAAAAGAAATAATTAGTCCCGTCGTCTCGGGCGTCACACTTATGTGTGTGTGTGTGTGGTGTGTGTGACGTCACACGTTTGAAACACGCGTCCTCCCTAGAACCGCGCGCGAGAATAAATTGAAGACTGTTCTGTCCTTCAGACGTGAGAGAGAGCAGCTTATTATTATTATTATTATCGTACTATGCATTGTATCTTCGACAGTGTACGTATCTTTTTTTGTTTCTTTTCGTTTTAGTTTTGTTCATTCGTTCCACCGTTCTCTTTTTCGTTTCTGTTCTCTCTTTTACTTTCTTTTTTCGTTCAATAAAATTCTCTCGAGCACGTTCTCGCGTATGATTTGCGTCGCTATTCGTTACCGTTATAGTCGTAAGCAGCATAGTCACGCGTTTCACACACGTAGTGCTCTAGTGCTAGTCCCCACGAAACTCGTGCTTGTCTATTAGATACGAGATTACAAAGAGAAAAGATTAGCAAGTCGTTCGACCGAATAGTTCATTCACGACGGCGCCAATGACGACGATGGCAACGATGAAGAAAAGAAGATCGCGGTCGTTGATCACGAGAGGATTGCCAGGCGGCAGCAGCAGCAGCGCGGCGCGATCCGTTTAAGCTTGCGATCTTTTTACGGAACCGAGCGGGGTCGAGAGAAAGCGAGATCGAGTGAGAGAGAGAGAGAGAGAGAGCGCGCGCGCGCAAGGTTTTTCGGTGCTCGACGGCGCTTTTCTAGTCCGACGAGAACGGTGTGTGGAGAGCGACGATTCAGCGTTTTTTCATTCTCTTTTTTACCGTGTGACGAGAGGCCGTGAGAGAAAGGAACATCTGCAACGGATATATACGACGCGCACTACTACTACTATTAACTACTACTATTACACACACGCAGAAAAAAAGCGTTAAAAGCAGAGCTGCGACGGCATATTAGAGACAGCGTGTACTACAGCCGACTCGACAAACCAGATGTACGAGAAAATTACAAGTATCGAGACACGAATAAAAAGACATACACACATTATGTATATCGTTGTCTCTGCGATTCATTTTGTCTCTCCTGACTTTTGTATCGAATGAGCGTACAGTCAGCTCTCTTGAATTTGGTTGGTGCATGATTTCAGGTATGATCGAGCTCCAAAAATATAAACCAGCCAAATCTGAAAGCTCATTGAGCGTATCATTACTAAATGCACCTTTTAACTTTTCGAGTGTAAAGTGGCGCAAAGAAAGAGCGTTCTGTGCTGCTGAAACTCTGCAAGATTGCCAGACATTTCGTCTGTAACTGGCGAAATTAGGTAAAATCATTGATCTATAACCATACTGGATAGAGCACTGCCATACTCTATGAGCAGAGAGAGATAGTTGAATGAACATCGTGTTGTTTCTTCTTAATATGAACTGTTACAGTTGATTAGATAAGAATAGTACGGTGCCCATTCAACTATCTCTCTCACACAGTTCTGCTCGAGGCGTACTCTATCCAGTATGATGGTTATAGTAGAATGGGTAAAACAGAGTGTTTTGAATCTGAAATGATAAAGTCTACGACTGAAACACTGTTGCTGACCAGTGCTAGGATTCTGTAACTCGTTATTGGAGTTAACGACAGTTTCGTTATTGTGCGCAGGTTTTGTATATCGTAAAAAAGTTGCGCAACGATAACGAAGCTCGTTAACTCCAATAACGAGTTACAGAATCTCGATACAATTGGGAAAGTAAACCTACCATTGCGAGCCTTTGAAAACATCGGCTGTTCATAGCGAATTTCTCTCTCTGGGCACATATATGCGCCCAGAGGTAATATCGAATCTTTTGCTGCGAGTGTATGTAGACAGAGTGAGGCAATAACTGTTACATATTACTTTGAAATAAAAATATCTTCGAAATAAAAAAGCAAAGGCGATCTTTGAAGCTACTTCACGCAGAAAAAAACGTTACCGCCATAAGATGTTTCTGTACTATATAACTTCTGTGTTAGATACATTTTTTTTCTACTCATTTCAAAAGTATTTAAGGCTCCTGGGGAGTCGCATCATCCATTTCTTTTTAATGACGTCAGAAGCCAGAAAACACATGCTAAAAATTCCTGCAAAGTACGTCGAGATAAACAGATATATCCACAAAACATTTGCGATCGATTAAGTACACCTCTAAAATACACTTTCCTTTTATTCTAACAATCAACAGATAATTATAAAATAAATGTGACGTGCAATCGTCTTTTCTAACCTAATTTCCTCATTATCTTGTCATATTAATTTTCCGATTATCTATTGATTTTTAGAACAAAAAGAAAGTGTAGGGAGTATTTTAGAAGTGTATTTAATCGATCGCAAATGTTTTGTAAATATATCTGTTTATCTCGGTGTATTTTGCAAGAATTTTTAGCATGCGTTTTCTCGCTTCTGACGTCATTAAAAAGAGATGGATGATGCGACTCCCCAGGAGCCTTAAGATATTGATAATTATTGTCTCACCCTGTGTACGCGCGCAGCACTCAAATGATTAAGAGTGCGAACACATTTCTCTTCTACGTGCCACAATTGTGCGTAGTTTTCACAAATTTAACGTCAGTAAAAAAAGAAACCTAAGTTTCGAAATATGCTTTATAAAATATATATCTTGCAAAACACGTACATAAACACACATGCATACGCTAAATAATATTCTTGTGGGACAAAGTTGCATTTTGACGTCTATAATCCGTTTCTGGCGATAATGCATCTTGGAGAAATCGCATAATGCTATATATTATTACTCATTGTGCAAATTCGAAAGATAGCTTAAATCTACAGGAAGAAAACAAAAATAATAAAATATACAGGTATAAGATACAGCAGAGTAACATAATTTACGATTTTTATAAATCACTGAGTTGCAATATTTAAGGAGACGGGGTAGATAAATGACTTTCATATGATAGAGAGCTTCACAAGATCGAACTTCGTTCTCAAAGACAAAAATCTTAATTACCTCTTCACGACTGTGACCTCTACGTTGATTACTGTTACGGACATATATTAAAAAAATAATGTTTAATTCAAGTAAATAAGTAATTAAGTAAGTAAAAGTACCTTACAAAAATAGTAAAAGTACCTTACATATATATGTAGAATATAAAGTGAGTATATATAGAAAATATTAACATTTGGAAAGTATTAAAAAAAATCTCCTAGTTTCATTATTAATCTCATGATTAACGATTAATAAGATTCTGTTTTGAATATGCGCGTTATCACACGGTTAATCGCATTGTGTACCTAAATATCTGTTTTGTAACACTAAGGACGCTTAAAGCTTTCGAGTATCCTTTGAAATATCCAACATCACGAGGCACAAACTTCGACGGTGACGATAAACTAACAATCGCAGCTAGCAATCCACTGCTGGCTAGTTGTGTCCACTGCGATCCTCAAAGTACATAAAGTCCTAAAACAAGGGAGAAATTAGAATATCAGGGATTATAAAAAAACATTAGTTAATTAGTTAAAAGATTTAATTGTTTAAAGAGATTGAGATATTACACACACACACACACACACACGTGTGTGTGTGTGTGTATGTGTGTGAGAGATAAAAGATTATTTACATAATTTTACATATATATTTATATAATTACATGTTTGTTTACGTAATTAGTTAAAAAGTTAATTATTTAAAGAGATTAAAATATTTGAAGGTCTTTGGTTAATAATCACGCATTGATGGAATACTTACTATCAAAAAACATGCTCCCAACAGTACGGCCTTTATCTTCACATCGAGGTCTCGCGGGAACTTTATACCGAACTTATCAGAATCGGTGAAAACCTCCCGAGCGAATCCGCTCCAGCGCTTCTGAATCATGCCTACATTATGTTTCTCGTCTAAAGATTTCACCTGCAAAACATTCAGTGAATGACTAACGCGAAATACCTTATTAGTCTTCTATAATCAGATTTTCTTTTTATTAAAAAAAAAAATGACATTACGCAGAAAAATGTCCGACATTGACTATGTGGGATATAAAGTAATATAGCTAAATTTTAATTCATGAATATTTTAATGCCATTCAACACAACAAGCATTCTGACATAAGAAATAAGAACTAATAATTGCTATGAGCTTGTTTGGTGGCAAAATTATTACTTTAAAATCATGCATAGCAGTGAGCAAACTCAAAAGTCAAACTTTAAGAATATAAGTATATGATATTAAAAATATTTCAAATATTTAATAATTAGTAATTTAGTAGTTTAAAAACTGTTTCAAATGTTTAGTTATATAGTAAATTTAAAAGTTAAGTTAATTAATAATTGTTATATAAATTATTAATTAATAACTTCAAAACTTTCAAATTTACATGGCGTGATGGAAGGTTAAGACTTCTATGTCCTCGCCGCGGCCATTTTAATTAAAGACGTAAAAAGCGAGAAAACGTGTGCTCAAAATTCCTGCAGAATACGTTGCAGTAAAAAGATATATCTATCAAATGACACTTGTGATCAATTGAGCATATTTGTAAAGTACTCTTTGCTTTTATAGCAATCAATAAGTAACTAAAAAAATTTAACGTGACAGATTATGAAAAAGATAAAAGGAGAAAAATAAAGATTGCCATTGATTGTGGCAAGATTATGTCACGTAAATTTTACGGTCATTTATTGGTTGCTAGAGCAAAATGGAGCTTGTCAGAACTTTCGCAAGAATTTTTAGCGTGCATTTTCTCGCTTGTAACGTCATAAATTAGGATGGTCGCCCCAAGATGAAAGCAAAAACCTTAAGTGACAATATAAAATGTATGAAGCTAGAAAGAGATAGGAGAAAGACAGAGAGGAGAGAAAGGAGGAGAGAGCTACGAAGAAGTGAGAACGAAAGGAAATAATGAATCCACAGAGGTTTTCTGCGAGAGATACCTTGAAAGCTACTTCGACGCACAAACGAATGATCGGCCCTTTTATTATCAGCACTGGGTTGCCGCTCGCGTCGCGGACGGAGAACGTTGGTCGCAGAAGACTCCACTCTTGGGTAATGCTGCCGAGCAGTATGCCACCGGAATATACTTCCATGACCTGCAAACAGTTTCCTCAGTCATTCACTGATCATAAAAGTTAAAGATTCTGCATGATTATTTTGCTCTAATTAGTCAGGTACTCGCGTTCTATGATTTGACACTTCACATTTGATGATGAGATTGCTGTTAAACATCACACACGTTGTGCAACGAAGTTTAACGATAACGATAGGAGTAAATATATAAGATTCGCGATTAGAGAGAGAAAGAGAGAGAGATAAAGTTGCGATTTTGTCGATTGACGCTCAACAATTGTCTCTTTGAGAAGAATGATCGTTTGTTGAATATCGTTTACGTAACAATTGCTATTTTTATACATATAATAGAGAATCGACGTGATTCTTCTTCGGAAAGTATCGATCGCGGCTTCCTATATTGCGGGGGAACTCTCATCAAAGGTGAAGCTGACAGATGGTGCGCACGTGTGAAGGAACTTTGGCGAAGCGTGCGTCAGACAGATCCGCGGTTCTCATCTCATAAAATTTCGCATTCAACGCCTCGCCGTACACAATCTCAACTTCTAATTATTACATCTCTCTTCGTCCACGTGCTGTGCCTCGAAATTTGACTTCTTCATCTAATTTAAGAAATATCTTGAATCGAGAGTCAGACAGCTGCGCTCAGCTGCACGTTGAAGATTGATTGGAGGATGATTGCGCGCGATAATGCACCGATCTTCTTTAATTAATAACCAAAAATCTATGTGGTCATTTGCAAAATTTTACAGAACTTTTTGATTTAGTTTGACTTTATGTGCAAGCGCAACAGCAGACGTCGCCATCATAGCTCGCCGTCTGCCGTATCGCGCGCGATTGTTCGCTAATCTCCTTCAATTAATAATACAAAATTTACGTGGTCATTTGCAAAATATTAGTGGACTTTTTGGTTCAGTTTATGTCAAGCACAACAGCATACAATAAAAAACATCGCCATCACAGTTCATTTGCCGCATCGCGCGTGACTGGTTGCCCCAATCTTCTTTAATTAATGACTAAAAATCTACGTGATGATTTACAAAATGGTGGAGGAATTTTGTGTTCAGCTTGGTGAGTTCTAACTGTACATAACGCAAAATCTTATGTGATTATTTGTGAAATAGTAGAAGAATTTTGCATTGAGTTCTACTTACAAACAACGTAGAATTTCATGTGATTGTTTGTGAAATTGTAAAAAAATTTTGCGTTTGGTGAGTTTTGTTTGCACACAACGGATGTGTCAATAATTGACAAACATTTTTTATATGTGTGTACGTGCGTAAAAGTTTATTTTTTATTCGTTAAGGAATGCGAAACAGTGATCAAGGAAAGAGAAAGAGAGAGAGAGAGAGAAAGGGGGGGGAGAAAGAGAGTAGCGGCCGTTCTAGTTTCTAAAAATTGTAAAAAAAATTTGTGTTTGGTGAGTTTTGTGTTTGCACACAACGGATGTGTCAATAATTGACAAACACTTCTTATATGTGTGTATGTGCGTAAAAGTTTATTTTTTATTCGTTAAGGAATGCGAAACAGTGATCAAAGAGAGAGAGAGAGAGAGAGAGAGAGAGAGAGAGAGAGGGGGGGGGGGG